AACTTTTTGAATTATTCTGCTCCTGTACAAATGTTCTAATTTAATTTGAACTTACTGTTGGTCATGGTTACTTGATGATTGTTCTTTTCTTTTTTTTCTTCTTTTCTTTTAATGAATTGCTGCCATATCATATGTTGTCTGTAATCATTCTCATTTTCAGATCAATGCTGAATTCAAACGGATCACAACAATGCCCCTGCAGTCCAGGTTTCTATCGCAATTAGATTTGCACTCCGAGAAACTTCTCAAAATGTTTAAAAACAGAGGAGGACAGATTGGCAGACGCCTAGGGGGCATCATTGCACCCATGGATGAAGTAAGTATACTCTCTGGGTGGGGTGGAGGTGGTGGACATAGTCATTCTTATTAAAGTGTCGAATAGGAATCAAATAAACACAAATAAGTACTTTAACATCTTTTATATTTCTTCTTTCAAATAAAAAGTGCACTTAACATTTCCACTTCAAAAATACAGCTGGAGCATGAAATGCCACAACAATTGTGGTCTTACAATGTGGTCTTAAAACAAAAGAGGTAGTAGAAAACTTCAAAGTGTTTTGCAAACTCTAATTCTGAAAAAAGCATTCTGTTAGCAGGAATACAGAAAATAATGCTTATTCTGACAGAAGCAATAATATTTGGGACACACACTGAGAAATATGAAGAGTTGCATGTACAAAATGTCAATCTCTCTGTATTTTACTCACTTAGTGTGAAACCTGTGCCTGTTTGGATGAACACAGAGCTAATATCCTGGCGGTAATTGGAGAAAGACGCAACAAAGCTCTTCCTCAACAGCTCTGTCTCTCTCTGTTTTTAGTTTTTATAGCAGTCAGGCTTGAGAAGCTCTCTTCACACAGATATTCTGTGGAAAATGGGAGCAATGTCAAAATAGCTTTGTTTGCCAGAATGGGGAACTTCTTGGCAGCGTAGGCTTGCTAGCCACAATGCTGTCACTGCTACCTGCCGCATTCATACATCACTAATTCTCTTGTCTCAACGTACTACGCAATTCGCTACCTGCTGACATCTAGTGATAAGAAAAAGTTATACATGATTACCCTGCCAGTCACTACTACAGCACAGACACTCAACAATGGCATATTAGGTGATTAGGTGAAATTGGATAATTTCCCACGGCACACTTGTGCTTCTGCTTTTCTGCCTCAGGATGATGACTTGGATCTGGGAAGAGAATGTGTGATAAAGGCACTCTGCGTTTACCTGAACGAGGACCCGGAGAATCTATTGAGAGAGTATGTGGTAAGTATTACTCAGGTTTAGTATGTTGAGATATTATCTTTTATATTTTAATAAGCTTTAAAACATCTACCCATTGTAATTTCTTTACAGTCAGCTAACATGTAAGATAATATAGTAGTGATCTTAATTTATACAAGTAGTTCCGACCAAGCAATCTGATTGGTCAACAAGACATTTAGAACGTGCTCAAATCAGCATGCCTGACTCAAAACTAAAAATATTACTCCGCCATGTCATGTGGTCATATCCATCTCCATGGTAACCATCCATGGATTCTTATTTTAATTTTTTAGAAACGTTATGTTACTCGTGAAAAAAAAATCACAAAGTAAATCAGCCTCCTATAGAGTGTTCCCGTCAGCTGCCAAACTTAAATTTTAAAACAATTAAATAATAGTAATAAAAATAAATAATACATTTTTTTAGTTAACATGCTGTAAACTGCCCCGTTTTAGCTGAGTGTGTATAAAGTCAGAAATACACTAGTTGTGACCACGGTGAAAATGTTTTTAACTATAT